TAGCATAGTGTTTTTCATCACAAAGGCTCGCTCATGCAACATAAATATCCCTCTGGGTCGGATACAGAACGTGTAACTGTGTGCATCATTAAACATGAGGAAGTCTCCAACAAACCCTGTATATATCCACATGCTTTATGTCGTGTTTCTGTCATCTACGCACGGAGCCTGACTGTGTGCCCTACAAAACCCTGTGCTTTGCGGTGAATTTCTACATATATTTCCTACATTTTAGGGTGTCGATTCGTGACTCTTTTTTGAGAAAAGTGTAAACAAAAACATAGGAAATGCGACGAAAGACTCGTGTATTTATTTGCAACTTTTTTCACATGTCTTTTGACATGTGCTTGGCACACAGTGACATCAGGTTGTTTGAACCTGTGCGCATGAGGCGCCACTGCCACGACCGAACATCAACAACCCATCACCATCGAGTTCTACTGATCACACGAACGAAACCAGCCCCCCCCACCCCCCGAACCTCCCGTAGTATCTTCTGTCATCACATCAACAAATCATCATCAACAAAACATCATCATCATCATCATCATCATCATCATCATCATCATCATCATCATCATCATCATCATCATCATCATCATAGTCTACATAACATTGCCATCCATAGGCACCGGGTCAAAAAAGAGCACAATAAACATATGGTAAACAAAATAACACGACTACGGGTACCGTTTCCGACCCGGAGGCATAAATATGTCAAGCTTGGCAGTCAAGAATATCTCCACAACCAATGAGGTCAAAAGAAAACAGCATTGAGCCTGTCAGTTGCTAGGACTCATGGAATCTACACTGTCGCACACTTCAGTGGACATGGGTTAGCATGGTGTTTTTCATCACAAAGCCTCGCTCATGCAACAGCAAATCAAGCTTGACAGTCAAGAATATCTCCACAACCAATGAGGTCAAAACATCATTTAGCCTGTCAGTTGCTAGGACTCATGGAATCTACACTGTAGCACACTTCAGTGGACATGGGTTAGCATGGTGTTTTTCATCACAAAGCCTCGCTCATGCAACATGCAAATCAAGCTTGGCAGTCAAGAATATCTCCACAACCAATGAGGTCAAAACATCATTTAGCCTGTCAGTTGCTAGGACTCATGGAATCTACGCTGTAGCACACTTCAGTGGACATGGGTTAGCATAGTGTGTTTCATCACAAAGGCTCGCTCATGCAACATGCAAATCAAGCTTGGCAGTCAAGAATATCTCCACAACCAATGAGGTCAAAACATCATTTAGCCTGTCAGTTGCTAGGACTCATGGAATCTACACTGTAGCACACTTCAGTGGACATGGGTTAGCATGGTGTTTTTCATCACAAAGGCTCGCTCATGCAACATGCAAATCAAGCTTGGCAGTCAATAATATCTCCGCAACCAATGAGGTCAAAACATCATTTAGCCTGTCAGTTGCTAGGACTCATGGAATCTACACTGCCGCACACTTCAGTGGACATGGCTTAGCATGGTGTTTACAGTAATGTACAGTCCATGGTTTGCCAGGTTTGGGGAGCAGAATTATTCACCCACCTTCCTTTTCCCGCGTGACACAATTTGACTGAAGACCAAAGGCCACTCGGGGGCGAAGGATTTGACCAAGGACAAAAGCATACAAAACCAAAGGCTTCCAAGTCCAAGACCATTCCTTTTCAAATGCATGACATATCATGAAGAAGAACGATCCGAGCCTCCAGTCACACAAAACAACTTGAGGGATGTGTGTGCAAACAACGGTCAGGAGTCAGTCAGAATTTGACGGCCGAGAGCCTGAGAACACCTTCCCTGAAACACGGTTTCTTCACTCTCAAGTCGGGTGGTTCAACTGGTTCCTGGCCGGAACCCTGCCACTGGGCTTGCAAAGTTCCAAAGCACGCATGCGACCTGCTTTGGTGGCCAGCGGTCTTCAACATGTTTTGTAACTCACCTTTTACTCCAGCAGGACCAGAAAGACCCAAACCTGGGACACCATCTGGGACCATCCGCAAAAGCCGAACAACAAGTGTTTGGTTTGATGTTCGAAGTCCATGGAACAAGCAAACCAAATGGTATTTTTATGTATTATTGTATTATATATATATACACAAGCTTTTCCAACACATATAGGCTAATTTTGAGAATGACAATGTGTAAGATTGTGTAAGTGTAACCCATGTACCTTGGACTGATTTAGACTGCTACACCTACAGAATTACCCCCCAAAAAACTGACATGTTTGACTGCCCAGCTTGATTTGCATGTTGCATGAGCGAGCGGTTGTCATGAGACCTGCGACCCAGTCACGTGGCTGCCGACCACGTCACCCCCACGGCTCCGACCACTTGGCTGCCGACCCCTTGCCTCTTGGAGTAAATGATAGGTGGCCTGACAATGATGCGTCTGCAGGACGTATCGGATGGTGTTTAGGATGGTGTTTAGGCTCAGATTCCAGATTCTTGGGGTGCAAACAATGAGCCTAAACTGAGGGTGCAAGAGACTCCTAAATGAACTTCCCATGTGCCGCTTGTCGCGACCCGACATCGAGCAGTCAACGACCCGTTCCACCGGGAGCCGGTTGACCATGGTCAACCGGGAGCCATTCCTCCTACCCGTTCCAACAATTCACTCAAAAACCTCATGGCTGGATCCAACACGTGGGTGTCCAGTTCCAGACTTGATCCTGATTGTCTCGAATGGTTTATTGATACAGCTGGACAGCAAGGTGCCCTCCCCAAAAAAGCAATCCCCGAAAACGTCCGCCCCCTTGGAGTGTATATATGATTCTCTTATGAATTGTGTGAATCAAGCTTTGCTGGATCAGATCCAGATCTTGAACGGATTTACCCCCACATCTTCGCCTTGATGTTGCTGGGCAAGACTTCGGAGATGAAATCTGCACTCGGCCTTGCAAGGCCAAGTGAGGGGGAACCGGGGAAGATGTATATATGAGGGACAAAAATGTGACTATGCACACATATACTGTACATGAACTACATCATACATTGAACTGCATTGTTCGGGAGTGAGTTTATTTATCGGTTCTGTTCTTACTTCTTTCGGAAAGCATTTGTATAACAACATGGATGCGGTTTCTTCGGTTGCTTGCGGCATGGTTGCTTATACTGATATCCTTCTTCATAGCAATCATAGCAACCATCCCTCCCTCTTCACAATCTGTCCGTGATGAGATTCCACGGTTGGACTGCTCAGTGCTTGGTGAAGTTCTGTATAGCGGACCGGCTTATTTAGCCACCTGGACTCCGGCTGTTCCACCGTCACACGACAGCGCTGAAGTGATGCGCTTGAGCCCGTTGCACCTCCCATCCGCTGCCAGGTGAATCACCTCAGTGCAGCCTTCCAATACGCCCACCAGGGCGCCCTGCACGCGGGTGGTGGTTCTACGTCTGAGCTCGACCCCCTGTCCTGATCCGAGTGGCGTAAGAGTGGCCCCAAATCAGCGTAGTGTTCAGCTGTTGAACTTCAGATGAGACTTCAGATCGAATCTCCAGGACCTGATGTTGAACTTCTTGACCTTTCAATGGAGTCTCTTTTTGGGCCCCTTTTTGTGACCTCAAACCAGGGACTGAGACAGTGACGGCGACGCATCCCTGGTCCGGACCCGGGTTCAATCCAAGGGTGCAACACAGACCGGCTGTCGCCGGGCCACGGTTCCCCCACCCCTGCAGACCGGATGAGCGGACCGGGTATAAAAACAGGTGGTCCAGTCAGCCGATCCAGCCGATCTCCAGGTCACTTGGACAAGTCGGACCTAGAGGATCGAATTTGGCTCCAAGAGTTAGGTCGCGAACACCTACTTTATATGGTTTCTGTCAAAAATCCAGGAATCAGTGGCCAGGAACGAAAGAAGGAACCATGGGTCTTTGAAGCTGCTGAAAGTATTTGAAACTGCTGATCCCTCCACTACGTTGTTGTGTATATAGCACCTACTATATAGTTCCTCCACAGGGATCCCCTGTAGTGGATGAATCTTGATGTCTGGATACCCCAAGAAATTGGTCGCGTCGTCGTCTCTGGCCGTCCCGGGCCTCTTGACTCATGTCCAGGGCCACGTCCACTTTGGAGACATTGGCCACCCCGGACCCTCCGGCGGTCCGGCGGCGGTCGCATCTGTCCGGCATGCGAGATATCCACGCGACATACGTCCGACAGGCATGCCGAGCCGATGGCATTTGTGGGTAGATCAAATCGGGAAAACTCTCATTCCCTGAGCCAAGTGGAATGATGATGGGGCATGGTTACTGGACAGGCAACTTGCAGGCCGACATCTGAGGACATCGTGATATACAATCGTTTATCCACTCTTGTAGGTGCCAACAAATCTCATTATTATTTGGGAGGCTTCCGTGAAAAGCTTCGCCCCATGGGCTGACCACGCCTCTGGCTGTGACCTTCTGACAGGAAGCCCATAAGCTCGTAGAGTAATGAGTTCCTACAGCCGAACCATATATAATACAGGCGAAACCATGATTCCTTGCAAGTTCATTCAAAGGTTCATTCTCCTCACCTGGGTCGAAGCAAGCAAGAACACCTGGCGACTTGCAGAAAGCTACTAAGTCACTATTGCTTGTAAAGAAGCAGGATCCCTGCTAGATCAGTTTCGATTGTGGAGCCCTATGAAACTGTGGATCTAAGTGGGCGAAGGATTGAACCGGACCCGCTTCAACCAGGCCTCCTTCTAACATCACATCCAAACCACTCATAGAAGGTGAGCTCTACACCACACTTAAGTGGAAACTCTCTTTTTGTGAGCTATACCGGGTACCTAAACACATGCTGAGTAAATGCAAACTGCAAGGTCTGACTGATCTTTCTTTGGAACTCGCTTCATCCAACGGCAGTTTTTCACAGCCGTTCCGCCATCGCGGCGCTCGCGGTCTTCACACCACGTGCCAATCGACTGAGTATCCCCCCCCCAACTGAGCCGAATGGACTACCAGGCAGGTGCTTTCACAGCCGTGTTTCTTCGGTGGTATGCTTTGGTGGCTTGAGATGAATTTTGACCTACAGCCATAAGAAGGACCTGGGGTGTGACGTGTGGGGATAGTTTCTGGCCAGGCGCATCAATTCCTATTTGAGTTTTAGATGCCTATAGTCTATAGATATAATATGTTTTTGTGAGCCTTTCCTTTTGGCTCACAGCAGTATGTGATCAATCAAGCACCTCCAAACCATCCTCACCCACCATCTGCTGAAAGCGAAAATCACCTTCCCCAGAGGCTCGGGGAATTAGACGTATGATGTTTCGAGTGATTATAGGTTTATGATGATTCATGAATCATATCTCAGAAAGGAACACATCCGAGATCATGTTTCCCTAAATCTTTTAGAATAAAGCTGTCCCATGTTGACCTGTCAAAAGACATATTATTAGGCTATTTGCCTAAACAACAAAGCTAAGGATCAAAAAAAGGAGTCATCCCAGCACAAGAAACAAACATACACATCGTATTTTCAATTGAATGGTCCAAACATGTCCAAACATTCATTGCAACCCCTAAATCCAGGTGACATTCGAGTGGCTTGGTCGAGAGGTCCTCAACCCCACAAACCACGGTGAGGACCGCGTCCCGCCGCGCATTATCGCCTGCCTGCTTTGCGTGGCCCGCCCTGACAACGTGGTGACGCCTCAGGTGGACAAGGATGGCCAGCCCTTGGAGGGGTTTGCACAAAAATGGTGTTTTAGGTAATCATGCAAGGTGGGGGGGGCTAGGGTGTAGGGTGACTGAAGGGACCATCCAGTGGTGCACTCGAGGGCTCAAATAGGGATGGAAATCAATGTGCCTCCCTTTAGGCCTTTCGTGGTGCGAGTGGGGCAAACAGGTTTTGGAAGTGGTGCAGGATCTGCAGGAGTGCTTCTGTTCCAGCATCACAAGCCGTTGTCAAAGTTTCTTCCATGTATGAACATCTGACAAAAGAAGCTCTCGCGTATCGAAGCGAACCTCTCTCAGCATGAGCACCAGAATCTGAGGGACATGGAGGGACCAATCTGGAGATTGGTCTGTACTGTAGTGGTTCTCCAAACATATGGGAGATTAGCTCATATCTCGCAGCATCCTGGACATCTAGCGCATCTGGACTCTGGACATCTATTCTGGGATAGAGAGCTGAACTGGAGCATAGTCATCAAAGGCAATACATATTATGATCCAGAATCGAAAGCTGCAAAACACGTGTAACATAATGCTACCATCATTGTATGTATGTATATCATGTAATGCAATGCAATATTAGTTGTGCTAAGATGCACCATGCACGATTACCGAAGGCTATTGAACCCAACTTCTGTAGACACCCAGGTAGCCATGACCAGGTAGCCATCCTCACCGACCTATACCTCTGGTCGTCCGGTCGCCATCCTCCGCGCTGGCCGTCCGGACCAGATCGATGCCCAGCACTTCAAAGCCCAACTCCTGCGGAAGGCGCCCACTGCCGAGTTCCGGCCGTGGTTTACCCAACGGAACACAAACGCTTCATCAGTTTGTGCCGGTGTTTATATGGTGTGTCGGTTTCGGAGGGAGTGCAGAAAAGGACAGATATGAAGGGATAGCAAGGTGGCATGGAGAAATCCTCTGTCTGGGTTTGATGAGTTTGATATAGTTTGATGGGTATATCGATTGGGTTTGTCTCACAAGGAAGGGTTACCCAAGCCCAAACCTTAATTATCCTTTTTGTCCCACTTCTGAAACATTGCTTTCCCATGGAGCATCTCACAAGGTTGCTGTGAAAAGAACAGGGAATGCCAACAGAAAAAAGGAAGCCATACAATGAAGAAGGCGTTCTCATATGTTCTCATACATAGAACAATAGCAATAGCACAAGGGGCGCTTCACCTGCTGATGCAGGAAAACAGAAGAATCTCAAGCACCATATGGCTCTCTCAATCCTCTGCAAAACCACGTTGCCCAGAAGTTGAACCCAACAGCTTGTATGTTTGTCACCAAAAAAACAAAAGACCTAGAATGATCATGAATAACCTTTGGTTATATTTGACTTATAGGGTTGAAAATGGGATGGACTTGGTTCCCAGCGTTCCAACAGGCTTTTGCCCTCAAAAGGCTTGCAAACAAAAGATCCCCTTGTTCCGAAGGTGCAGGATGGATTCGGATGGCTATCGATCATTGGTGTGCTATCCATTGGCCCACAGAAGATGTTGGTGAATATGATGAAACATCTTCTCGCTGCCAAGTGGCCTGGAAGGTACGTTATCTCAAAGGGATAACGGGCAAAGCTGTAGTACAGGTTGTCCCGCCAACGACGGACAGTGTACCTGCACCTTCAGGTGTGATACCCACTCCATTGGATAGCCTCCAATGGTGTGCTATCCATTAAACCAGTAAACACACACACACACACCACCTCCACCTCCAACTCATCACCAACTCACGCTGACCGCGTGCGCCACGCTCCGCATCCTCACACTCCGCGCGGGCAAGCTGACCGAGGAATCCGCCAGCGCCTGTGATGGCGATCCGACCTGCCCGTGGCACCAAGACACGGTGCGGAGAAACGAAGACCACGTGATTTCTGCTCTCATGTGAAGCATAGGCACCTCATCAGAAAGCTATTCAGATCGATAATCACCCATGGGTCACCATGAGTTAGATGTTCCTGTGGTGAAGAATCAAAAACTGCAATGGAGGTGATGGGCATGGCCCAGGAGCATCCTGCCGCAAAGGCCCTATACCACACCCGCGAGGACGTCGCACACGAGGACGACACACCGTGTGTGTCTCACGCTTCCCACCTCGCTGCACCATCAGGAGCCGAGTGATGGAAGGCAGCTACTGAAGTCCCATAGGTGCACGGTTTTTGACACTACGTGGTCCTCAAATAGATAGTAGCACGGTTTCCAAGACATTCTGAGTGGGGATCCGGGATCTACGTTTCTATCTATTTAGGTGGTGTTTTTTTGGGGCCGGGAACTGATATGAACTGATGCACTACGTGGTTCACACCGTGTGAACTCAAAAGAACTCATTGAAGAAAGGACATGGTCATTGACGTCATTGACATCGAACTGCTTGCTTCTTGGCTTTCCTTTTTTCTGTGAGACATTATCATAGTCATGGAAGGATGCCCCCCCCAAAAAAAAACAACAACTATACCATTTTAGTCTTGTACCAACCGTTTCAGAATGGTTTGTGGAACAGTTTCATGTGCCCTCGCAGCCTTCGTTCGGCGCCCAACTCCATGAAAGTCTGATCTTGTCTGCTTGTTCCATCTGACCCTCGTACTCCTGTCCAAAGGTTTGTCGAGACTGCGTGTTTTTCTTTGGAGCATGGAGCAAGGCGGTATTAGCCTTGGAGAGGTTTTGAATGGATGTACTCCGCAAACATATGGTGTTTTCAATGCCGATCCACAATGCACAGCTGAAGCCAGGCCGCTCTGGCAACGAGTGGAATATCTGCTCATTTCCACTGAGCCAGAACTTCCAAAAGGTTGTCATGCTGTTTCTTGAAAGACTTGCACACTCTCAAAACACTGCACCAGCCCCGGAAAGAGCTCGGATGTGTGCGTACTTCCTCTACTGACTGGGTAGAGGCCCCGTTGTACACTGGGAGCAACTCCACCTGGGTGCTTTACCAAGTCCGTGGAGAGTGCAGACCCAGTCAAAACCTGAGAAGCCCTTGGTCTTTGACACGTGACGAGTCATGAAGAAAGGACATGAGAAGCCCGGTAGTGAGGCCGGATGTGAGGATGGCATGTGTTGAAGCTTCTGGGGCCCGGACGTGGATGATCAACGTGGATGCCAACCCAACTACAGTATATAGTCGGACACTGCAAAGTGGATGAGGTTCTGCACTTGGCAGCTTGAGCCTTGGGATCATGTATATATATATATATATATGTATACTATAGTCTCTTACTGTAATAAGTGGGTCGATGGAAGTGATGGGATGACATCGCTCCACATCAACAGGGCCAAGCTGGAAAGGTACTTTGCATGGACATCTGTTGCATGCATATTATGGGATGCATATCGATAAATTATGGGTGGATAACAGGGAGGTCCCCCTACTTGGCCCTGGCTGGGTAGAGTCTGTCTGCTCTGAACAGGGAGAAATGGATGGACATGGTACAAATTGTGTTTCTGATTGTTTCTGCATGCAAAGCAAATTGAAATTAAGTTCTACTTAAACACCACCATAAAAACGTCGAATCATGACTCTTCATGATGAATCCTGTACACCAGTCAAGCACGATCCAAGCACGTGCTTGCCTGGACGCCCAGACGCCTCCACATCTCCCCAAAACATCGGTCCGTCCTTGTACTCCTGCAGCGCAAGCTCCACGCAAACCAAGAGCGACCCCAGAAACCACCAAGGGGCTGTTCTTTTTGATCCACCCGGTCCAATTCCCGGTAAGCGGACATGTTCGAAGTCCAGAAACCATGAGAAACGCAGGAGTCTTTTTTAGTGGATTCAGCAACATACCAGTGAATCTAGGAGCACCATCTTAAGAAAACTGAGACCCTTCAAGGTCAAATAGGCTTTTGGACACCGAAACAGGTGACCAAAACACCAAACAACTGGAGCAGTGAGCACCTACCCCATGCAATGGCATCGTTACGTGACCACCAAGGGGTTGGTTGATATATATATAATCGATGCAGGAAGCCTTCGGGACACTGAGCCCCTTCGGAAGCGTCGGGACGTCGAGTGATGGGACCCCGCCTACGGTGCCTGATGTTCAACCCTCAGCCGTCGCCGTAAGGCCGGCGACGTCAACGGAATGTGTCATGCACAGCGTCGCAGCGGAACTGTGCTGCGCGCCGGGCACAGTTCCAAATGGACACTGAGCAGACAAGAAAACTTTCGGTCGATTTTTTCGCATGATCAATGAAACTATGTGTTGGGTATGTTTGGGAATATCCCATTACCTGTTACCAGTGACAGAAAATGATGATGGTTAGTAGAGTTCTCAAAAATGGTGATGATCTTACTTTTCCTGTTACTGGTTTGCTGGGACACACCATCCTTCCACAAAATGCCCACGGCCTCGGCCTGTCATGTCTGCCAGCCCATGTTCATCCACCGAGAACGAACGAAGGTCAAACGGTCAAACGCTTCTTCTTTTCAGTGAACAGTCTCAAATGAAGCCAATATCTACCAGGGTCATCCATATGGGTGTCTTGTCCGGAGATTGAAAGATCATCTGTCCGGACTTTATGCCCTGGATCTAGCTGTCGCTGTCCATGCTCCAACACGAAGCCAGCCTAGACGGTCCCTTTAAACCAAGGGATTGGAGGGACCAGACATGAGAGTCTGACTCTCACCCCTACTTTTTAGGAGGATCTATATATCAGGATCATGAGTCTTATCATGAGCGTCTGGGAAAACAATACACTCCCTCTAATCAATCGTCATGCAAGTGAATGGCATGGCCTCGGAAGACGACTTTCGGAATACCAAACAGGTGGTTTTCACTTCACTTCCATGTCCTGAGTGCCCTAAAAAAGTAAGTCTTGTCCAACCTTCCAAGTCTTCTCATCTCAGAGTGCCCTGAGCCACGTCTGGCCTCTGGGCTTTGGAAAAGCGGCCCCGAAAGGCACGCCAAGAGGCAACCCAGGACCTCGACCGCGGCGCCGGTTTGCCAGGTCGCCAGCCGCGGCGTGTTCAAACACGGTCAGGTTCGGAAACGAACACCGGAGCCGGCGTGTGACCGGCGTGCTCCGGGGTTGTTCATAGGTTGTTTCACCATGTTTCACCTCGCATTTCCCGGATCTCTTCCTTCCAGAATGGGTTTCTGGTACTGTAATTCCTTGCCCTAGCCCAGTGGATGCCAGTTAGCACTACGGTCTATGGTCTTATATAGATGGTCTTAGCCTTTGGAAGCACTGGTTACCAGCTATAGTGGTAACAGGATCCACTGGGTAGTGGTGCCAAATGCATCCATTGCACCTTAGACTTAGACCAAGCCCTGCACCACTAGTTCCATAGACTGATGTCTTCCTTCAAAACGTCCAAAGGGACCAACGCTTCTCGAATCGACAGCCGAGTTTCGGGTTCGTTGATGGAACGCCGCTGTCCCAGGTTCGAGGCTGTTTGGCTCAGTGGGCCACCTGACTTTCCTGAAGATCCAAGGCAATCTTTGAATGGTAGGTGGGGTGGCACCACCTACCATCTTCTCTAGTCTTCTCTAGGTAGCGAGTCCGGTTTTCCTGTTCGCCGCCTTTGTCCACAGGACCCGAACATGTTCCGGCCTCCCCAAGCCAAGCAGTTCATCATGGCTGGTGGGAATGGTCCTTTGTACCCTCAAAACCACCGGAGTCCGACTCTCGCTCGAACGTGGAGGACGGGCGGTTGAAGGGGGACGGGAGATACCGGGAAGATACGCGAAGTCGACATGGACCAAGGCTTGATCCACTCACCGGAGGACAGTTCTTGACCCATTGGCAGTTTGGAGGAGATGGGAGGAGACACCGAGATAGCAGGAGTTCGGACCCAAAACAAACCCGATGTGTTTGAGAGCCCGGATTCTTAGGGCTGGTGACATGGCCATACATGGCCCCCAAGCTTGGATGGACGGAATTGGAAGATTCCGATTTGACCAAACAGGTGTAACAACACCCATCCTTGGAGTGTCTGCTTTCGGGGCCTCGGTTCGAGGTGCCACATAGGAAGGCCCAGGCATGGCCATGAGTTTGTCCTTGGCCAAGGCAGCTGAGTTGGACATCTTTGGACACTTGGTCAGTGCGCTCACATGGCTTCAAAAGCGTTTTGCTGGGCTTCATTCTTGGGAGGTGACCCAAACCAGCCGGGCACCTGTGCGCCTTTTTCCCCGGGTCAAATGAACAGAATCCAGTATAAGGGATATTCCCATGGTTTAGTGGAGGTTTTGACTCACAGCTATATATCTATGTCCAATGGAGGTGACCCATTGGATATTGTATACACACATCATAATATACAGTAAACATTATTCCATACATGGAGTGTTTGGGTTAAAGGGTGGCAACATGAAACCCTGACCGCAGCACCAATTGATTCAGCCCTCCCCATTTGCGTCCTGCCTGGCTCGTGCCAACTGTTCAACAGTGCTGGCAATTGGTTGACCTTTTGGACAAGTGTCAGTCAAAAGGCCGTCTCCTTGGGGATCTGTTTTTTCACATACCCTCCCGCAACCAGGAGGGTCCCGTCCAACTGAAATATTTACTTCGCAGCACCCCCCCAGGGAACAGCATGGAATGCAAATAGTGGGAACATCCTGCTGCGTTGTTGAGAGTTGGCACATGGTTGGCTACATCTATAAACTATCTAAAACTCATGAGGATACAGAACAGGTATACCTGGAGGCCAGTTGCGCTAGATGAAACATAACACCCACACAAGCACCCGTCTCTGACTCCGCCTGAAACAGCTATAATTGCCGATCATCCCAACCATTTTCGGTACAAAACCATTCCAGGTTCCGAAAACATCACCAGCCACACCAGCTCCACATCCATTTGGGATGGCTCTGTGTCAAAGGTTACGCGCAGGGAAACCATCAGGAAACCATCCACTTTTTTCATGACACGTTACAAACCCTGAGAAAACCTCCGCAACACTTGTGGAGGCCTGGTCCAGTGAGGGCCTGGTTTCCACGCAAGTAGACTGATTTTTTGGCCTCGAAGTCTGTCCCACTCATCGATTCTGGGCTTTTGACCTAGAAAAAGCAAAGGTGCTGTCAAGATCTGTTATGTTCTATGTAATAGGTGTCAATGTGCCTCGTTCGATGTCCACACTTTCTATTAGTGCATCCACGCAGTTGCTTG